CCTCCTTCTCGTCTTGATCCGAACATGATCCCCGGCTGCAGCTGCTGAAGATCGCGGGCACCGCGTCTCCGGTTGAAGCACGTCTCCAGCTTCTTCTTCCTCTGCCGATCTCGGAGTTTGGCATGCTGCCATGTCGCTTCCCCGATTGGCTGAGCGATGGGGAGACGAGATTGAAGTCTGCGTCCATCAGGAGATGGGCTGGGGAGTATCCGATTGCTCCCACAGGTGTCGTGCGCTAGTTGAGGAGGGCGAGGTGGGGGTCCCTCTGGCGATGTATCCACTTGGCGGTTCTCACGGTCCGTTCAGCTGCTCCGTTGGAAGCCGGCGTGTGCGGGTCTGCGATACGGTTTGTGAAGCCATAGGACGCTGTGAAGTTGGCGAACGAGCTTGAAGTGAACTGCGTTTCTCCATCTGTTGTCACGAGGTCTGGTATCCCCAAGCGGGAAAACAGGCGCTTCAGGCGCTCGATGAATGCGCTGCTGGTGAGACTCGGGAGGCGTTGTATCTCCAGATACCTGCTGAAAATGTCCACCGTGACGAGCCAGTTGCCGTTGTTGAAGTGGAAGACGTCTGCTGCAACGTGCGTCCACGGTCTTGATGGCGTTGGGGTTGTCACCAGTGGCTCAGCGTGCTGGGCGGGCGCGTTCATCTGACAGAACGAGCAGCTCTCGAGATGACGCCTCAGGTCGATGCTGAGTTGAGGCCACCAGATAGATACTGCTGCTGCTGCCGCTGGCGACAGTCGGTTAGACCGAAGTGTCCGTCATCATGTAGTCGAGTGAGCATTTCATCCGCAGACTCGGAGGGATGACGATGCGTCGCCCGTGCATCAGCAGTGTACCACACGTTAGGTACAGGACGCTCATCTCCCCCCCGAGAGGCGAAGTAGTCCCAGGGTCGGGATGCTTCGCTTCTTCCTTCCAGCCAGAGAGAGACTGCTGAACTACGCGCTGTAGGAGTTCGTCTGCTTGCTGCGCCTTGCTGATCTCCACCAGACGCTGCGGTGTGGCGGGAATATCGATGAAGATTCTCTCGCAGAATCCATGTATGTCTTCTTGAAGCACAGCGCTGATTTCGTCCTGCTTCCGGAGCGGGTGACGTGAGAGGAAGTCGGGCACCAAGTGCTGCTTCCCTGGAACGAAGTCGCTGTGGCGTTGTTTGGCATCAAGCGCATGAGCATGCGCTGTCATCGATC